TATTGATTATTGATGCTTGCTTTGACAAAAAATAAATTTCGAGAAATTTTTAAAATAAATTTAGTTAACCCTTAGCCCCGGATTGTCCCACCTGGCCCCGGCTACCTAGGTGGGGCCATGTGGGGCTGGTGTTTACAGGGAGGTCACCGCCTTTGCCTTCACTTTGCTGAAGCTCGTGGGGGACATTAGTAAAAGCTACGGTCGAACTATCTGTAAATGGGGTTTTCAAAATTTTCACCTATCTTTCTTATATATACTGAATTATACTAGATTACTAGATAATATTTTTTTGCAGACGGACATTTATAGAAGAAGAAGGCTGTGCGTTCGTCCAATTGCCGAGGTTCTCGTCTTTACATATAAAACTACCCTACCACCCTGTCTGTTTAAGTAAATCGCTTTAACCTTACGTATTTCGCCTGGGAGTAGAGCCAACTTACCGAGGTGTATGCTGCACTGTAATTAGATATCACATGCCCGGGACGTCTACAACTGAAGGATGCTTCTCTCATAACAGGAACACATACCAACTCCACCTTCAAGACGTGATTGCTTCATTTGACACTTATTCGTTGGTATGTGTTCACTCCCGCCACTTTTTCTCGTTGATAAGTTTTAGCCGTCTGACAACAGCTATACCCTAGCCATTTCTATCAAAAAGTCTGTGGTGTACCCCGATGTTTATTTTCGCCTTATATCCACGTAAGTTTGGAAAAAAGTGGCAATATGTCCAAGAAGGTTTTATTTTCGGAGAATACGTAATCTTTATTTCCGTCTTCAACTTTCTAACTTATTTAGCGGAACCGAAGAAAAAGGCGGCTTGTTCAGTTGCAATTATGGTTTAGTCGTGTGGGCCATTTGCACCTGCCCTCGCCTAATGAATCGTCTTGTCGTCCGGACCCGAGGCTTATTACGTAATCTAGTGAATCTCGAAAGTAGCCTACAACCTTCCATCAGAGGTCGTCCTTACTTCGCTTTTGTGACGTCAGTTTCTGGGTTCGACAATAAACACACTTACTACAAGACACAAATTCGTCCAAGATGGACATACGGAGATGATGCCTGCTTCGTTTCTATAACTGAGGCCTCCTGTGTGTTAGGTAGGGGTTTCTGTTTGTTCTTTTCTCAAATACTGACTTCTTGTTTTGCCTCCACTACGATTTTTCACATCACATTCACTACAACATTCTAAAATCAAAGTGGCAGAATAATGTAGACACAACCAAGCATTTATGTGCCAAATTATTGCGAACTACTGACCAAGCTCATGCCAGCGTATACCTGTCGCAAGCTGGCTTAAAAATTCCTTCACCTGCCCGTAGTGTTTAAATGTCTGGGTCAATATGTAATCCACACTAGCCATTTCCCTTGTACAAGTCATCCTTTTAAAAGTAAGGCAATTGTTCTACCATAAGTGTATGTAAGGTCCTCCCAGTTGTTTTATCCCACTGACGAGGACGTTATTCGCAACACACTAACGAAGTAAGCGTCATGTGATATCTTCCAAAGTGAAGCTGGCCTACAATATTTTCGGGCCCGACTCATAATTTCGCTCACAACTTTGAAGGCACTTGTGCCGTCAATTGGAGAATAAAGGTGTCATGGAAATCATTTTAGCAAGAAAGATGTATTGTTATCTTCTGTTTATCGACATTTTATCCTTGAAAGAGATTTGAAACTTGACGGTGGTCCATACAGACATGGCGGGTAGGGGAATGGGATAATATATTTTCGTGCTATTGGTGTCGATAGACACATCGGCTATCTAGTTTAGGCTTTCGCGAGCTTTCTTATAGTCTTCATCGTCCGTTTATACTCCCCACGTTATTTTTGAAAATGGATATCGCATACGCATCTACCAAGCGCTTTTTCCTAGCAATATGAACGTGAGAGCGTGGTCACTGTGCAGCAGTAGAGCCCGTGGTCTTGCATTCATGCTGCATTCTTAAAGACGTAAGACTTAGCGGTGGTAGGATTTATTTACTACTTCGGCCACTTGTAGAGGGACTTTCTGATGGATATCAAGGTAACCAGACTATTGTCTCGTGAAAAGCGACTTATGAAGTTCGTCGAGGAAGCAACCATTGTTTACTTTTGTTTTTCGTGGAATCCGATTTAACTGACTACCGTGCTGCATGTCGTGCGCGATTTTTTTATCTTCAGTTGGACTAGATTTAGGTTCAATTGGTTTCATGATTTT